ATATATATATATATATATATATATATATATATGTATATATATATATATATGTATATATATATATATATGTATATATATATATATATATATATATATATATATATATATATATATTCATAAAACATTACTATTGTACATTTCAAAATTCAAAATGAAAGTGTTAACATATCATATTTTTACGCGATTTTCGGATAAGAGACAATTCCGAATTTGTATGAATCATTAAAATCAGTTCAGCGGTTCTTAAGTTATAAGCGTAGTAACTAACACAACTTTCATTTATATATATAGATGTATAGATAGATTAAAAAGTATGCGGGGTCAGTTCCTCAGCCCCCAAACAATTACTTAGGGTTGGAGGGAAGGTCAACAGTTTCTCGTGTAATAATTTTTAAACCAATATCTTCATTATTAGGGAAATATAAGGAGTTTAGATAAATCGAAATAGTGGGCGTAAAAGGAGGCGTGGTCAATATTTTTTTCTTTAAAAACCTAACTCGGGGTATGACAAACGTTTGTACAAAAAAATTATGCAAATCGGTCCAGCCGTTTTCAACTGATTCCGTTACCAACAAACAACAATTGATTTTTATATATATAGATAGACTAGCTGACCCGGACCGCGTTGCTGGCCCGTAGCATTAGTGTATAATGCATATTTTCAGGAACCTAATATAAGATGTAAAGTTAAGTTTTCTCTTTGAAAAAACCTAAACTTTGATATAAATGTTGACTTACAACCATGATATGGGAACATTGATATGTCAACACTTTTAAAGTTTTTTGTTTTTTCAAATTTGGTATTTGATGTTCGTAATAACAGCCTATGACACAAAATTGTCTGTGTAGGTCAACGTCTTCGTATAGCCCCCCCTATAACGATACCTCCCGATATTGGGTATTTTGATGATTTTAGCGACATTATTCTTCGGAATTGTTTCAAATTTGGTATTCGAAGTTCGTAATGGATACTACAGCCTACGACAGAAAATTGTTTATTCAGCTCCACGTATTCGTTTAACAATCCCCATATAAAGGTATCTCCAGACATGCGGTATTTTAATTATTTTAGCGATATTATTCACCGGAATTGTTTCAAATTTGGTATTTCTAGTTCGTATCGGATACTGCACCCTACGTCTTCGTATAGCCACCATATAACGGTACCTCCCGATATTCGGTATTTTCATGATTTTAGCGATATTATTCAACGCATTTCAAATTTCAAATTTAGTATTTGAAGTTCATAATGGATAATACAGCCTAAGACAGAAAATTGTCTATTCAGGTCCACGTATTCGTATAGCCCCCATATAACGGTAACTCCAGATATGCGTTATTTTAATGATTTCAGCGACATTATTAACCGGAATTGTTTCAAATTTGGTATTTGTAGTTTGTAATGGATACTACAGCCTATGACAGAAAATTGTCTGTGCAGGTCCAGGTCTTCGTATAGCCAACATTTAGCGGTACCTCCCGATATATATTTTGATGATTTTAGCTACATTATTCACCGGAATTGTTTCAAATTTGGACGTAGGATAGTAGGGTAGTACGAACTGATTCAATTACAAACGAACAACAACTGATTTGTATATATATAGATTAAATAGTAGGCCTGGTCAATTCCTCGGCCCCCAAATAAATACTTAGTGTTGTATGGAAAGTCAACAGTATCTCGTGTAATAATTTTCATATCGATATTTTCATTATTTTACAAATATAAGGATTTTAGATAAATCAAGTGGAAGTAAGCGTGGTCAATATTTTTTTCTTTAAAAACCTAACTCGGGGTATGACGAACGTTTGTACAAAATATTATTCAAATCGGTTCAGCCGTTCTCAGCTGATTCCATTACCGACGAACAACAATAGACTTTTACATGTATAGATTAAAAAAAAGAAAAAACCTTCAACTTGTTCGCTGATTTTTTTTACCGCAAATGTTTGATGGTCCTTACGAAGTTTGCCAATATAATGTTGTATTATTTTGAAATTCGATTCCATTAATTTGTTTTTTATTTGTTCCCGATTTTATAATTTTTGCAATGAGATTGCCTTTTTCGTGATTTTTTAGTGTTTTAAAAAGTAATTAAAATTTTGATTTTTTGGTTCATAGCCAATTATCTTCTGAAATGATATTATTGGTATAATTCCACTTTCCCAATAAATATAAAAATCCATAAATAACTGTTTTGTCCCTTTATACTCTCCAAAAGACTACATATATTAGAATTAAAAAAAACACTACAAATGTACATTCGAAAATACCAAGTCAAAATGGAAAAAAATCATGCAATATATAACATTACTATTGTACATTTCAAAAGTCAAAATGAAAATTTTAAAATTTCACATTTTTACGCAATTTTTTTGGATATTATCCTTTTCTGTCAAGAGACCATTTAGAATTTGTCTGAATCGTTAAAATCAGATAATCGGTTCTTGAAGCATAAGCGTAGTAACTAACACAACTTTCTTTTACACATATTGATATATTTAGATTAAAAAGTAGGTGTGGTTAGTTCCTCAGCTCCCAAATAAATACTTAGGGTTGGATGGGAGGACAACAGTACCACGTATAATAATTTTCAAATCGATATCTTCAATATTTTGACAAAAATAAGGATTTTAGATAAATAAAAATAGTGGGCGTGGTCAATATTCAATCACAGATATGACTTATGTAGGCGGCACAATTTTGATTGTAAGTAATGAATCCATTATAATGACTCCAATTTTGATTATAAGTAATGACTTGATTATGAGTAATGACCCATGACTAAATATAAATTAATATTCATGGCAAAAATAATTACCGTCGGTTTTAGATATTTTGAATAGCCTGATCTTATTTTTCAGCTATACGCTCAAATTTGAGTGTTAAATACCTATATGATAAAGAACATCTATAATAGCCCCATGTGAAAATTCAGCTCAATTTTTGATATTGTAAAAAGCATTCAAATGAAATATAACTTGAAATTTGTATTTCCAACGTTTAAAATCCCGTACTGCGTGGTATTTAGTTTTGTCCACCTCATACTTGAAGGCAGAATGTTGTCAGAATAGCCAAAAAATTACTCTTTTGCTCCGATTACCGTAAGATGGGCATTAATTGTTTTTCATTTAAATTGTGCGGTGGAGATTCAATAAAGTTACTTTATAATTTCGTATTTTTTTCATGTTTCTGCCACAATTTCCGACTGAATGAGTCCCAGATTGAAATTTCGGAGTTTATTTCATATAGACGTACATCCCAAATCTACGTTCCCAACCAATATTCTCTTGGGGGTTATAAATTCAATAGAATACCAAATTTTCTTTTCTGACCACACATTGGTTGGGAAAGTGGACTTGGGGAAATACTAATGTGGGGACTATACTTATCCGTAAGATGATTTTCTACTCCAGGGTTTTTCACCCCAGGTAGCCTCAAGACTAAGATGCGCCCTTTTCCGAAAAATAAAAATTTTATAAGAAGAGGTTTTCTTCCCCCCTAGAAACAAAGATGTAAGGGCCAAAAAACGTGAAAAAAGTGGCCAAGACCCCGAAAATAACTTAAATCATATGATGGTGATACCAAAACGTGATCATTTTTTGCAAAGATGGTTTCTTCTTAAATTATCAACATAAGCTAAAATTAATACGAAAATATGGTTAAAATGTAGAATATACTTGAAATCGGGTTGTTCCGTTAGCGGGGGTTATGACCCATATCATGACCTGTCAAAGCGATTAAAGGTATCTTGAATGTTTAGGAAGAATTTCTATTTTGCGTCCTTTATAGTCGGTATTTGGCTGATTTTGCATTTTGTGTTCTCATTTGACAATTTATTGTCATTTGAAAGAAGCAGGTCCACTTTTTGAAATGAACCCCATAACGTTTTTTTTCGGTCATTTTTGTTTGTTTAAATGTGTTCGCATCTTCCAGCTGAAGCACGATGTAGGTCCTGGAGTAGAAAGCATTTAACACCGCATGCGCCCTCATTTCGTTTTTAATATTATTCATTCAGAATTCAAAACAATAAAAAACTGTACACTTCAATATAGAAAAAAGAAAAAGAATCTTCAACTGGTTCGCTAATTTTTTTGCGGCAAATTTTTAAAGGTACTTACGAAGTTTGTCGGTAGAATGTACTATTCTTTTGAAATTCGATTCCATTGAAAAATTGTCGATTTTTCCCAATTTTAGAATTTTCACATAAAGCGACAACGGATAAAACTGTTATTTATAGATTTTATGTATTTATTGGGTAATACGAATAAATACATAAAATCTATAAATAACAGTTTTATTCGTTGTGGCTTTATACTACCCAAAAAAACCTACACATCATATTAGAATTCCAAAAAAATATGCAATATAAAACATTACTATTGTACATTTTAAAAGTCAAAATGAAAATGTTCAAATTTCACATTTTAAGCGATTTTTTTAGATTTTATTCTTTTCTGCCAAGAGGCAATTCCGAATTTGTCTGAATCGTTAAAATCAGACCGGCGGTCTTTATGTTATAAGCGTAGTAATTAACACAACTTTCTTTACATATAGAGAAATAGACTTAAAAGTAGGCGCGTTCCTTAGCCCTTAAATAAATACTTAGGGTTGGATGGAAAGCCAACAGCACTATTTTGACAAATATAAAGATTTTAGATAAATCGTAATAGTGGGCGTAAAAGGAGGCGTGGTCAATATTTTTTTCTTTAAAAACCTAACTCGGGGTATGACGAACGTTTGTACAAAAAATTATGCAAATCGGTCCAGCCGTTTTCAACTGATTCCGTTACCAACAAACAGCAATTGATTTTTATATATATAGATAAAGATAATTTATATGTATAATTTTGTTAAATTCTGCGGCTCCCGTTTATATAGAGGTCCAATTTCAAAAGCACGCATGACAGTTGAATATGCACCTTATATATCAGGAAATAAAATGTGCAATATTTCAATTTCTTGGAAATCATTTTGAATATTAATGGTTCGTACTTACTGTTGTAACTAACTCCAAACAAACAAATTGCAGTGTTTCTATGTTATCGACAAAAAAAGGCTCAATGGATAACGCCGATAGTGGTAAGACAATAGTATCAACAAATATGCACTTGTCAAATAACATGACAAATACCTTCATCAACTCAACTACTTTAGAATATAAAAGTTGTAAATTACGATGTTGGTTATGGTAATATTTACTCTTTTTACGGTTGTCACTTTTTTTTACACTTTTCACGGTATAAACTGAGTCATATGATGGAAATATTGTTTCTCTCAATTGAAATTGTAAGAATTTTATAATCAGAGCAATGTTATCTTCTTGCAAAAATTTTAAATCGCTCACAGTAGAATATATATTGCACACAAGAAGACTTGCTTCGATTGCATTCAATATTTTTTCCATGACTTCATCATCTACAATTTCATCATCATCATCCTGAAAATAAATATGATTATGTAATGTTTTACGAAAATTAGTAATACTTACTGGGCCACATGAATAATTTTTTGCTAGATACACATTACGCATAGCATAATTTATTAATAAAGTTAATTTATTTTTTGGTATTAAATCAAGCACATTTTTTGCTTTTAGCTTTGCCACGTCGTTGCTCATGGCATTTAACATCTTTGAAGAAATACATTCGACATTTTCATCAACTTCATCTGTTGAAAACAAAAAAATTGCATAATTTATGTAAAAAACATGTAAAATACGTCTTACCAGTATCGAAATTAGGAGATTCAGTATCATCAAGTAATTCAATTATTTGATCCATATTTCGCATGAATTGTTGGTATGTTTGAGACCTCATTATGTCATCTCGGGAACATTTTGGGGGGAGAAGAGAAAGAACTCGTTCTACCCGGCGGATTTTCGGCTTGGAATCTGAAAAAAAAAAATTGTTGTGGATAAGTTGGTTTATTCTTCGACCATTTTCTAAATATTGTGAATATTGTCTTTTATTGGGTATTTATTTCACAATTTTTAAATGTTAAAATATCACAATCGTCAAATATTCCTTATGAACTAGAATAGTTCTTCTATCAATTTGCGATATAAATACTGCCCTGAAGAGTTCTTACTTATTACACATTCTCTTTTCTGTTAGGGATCTATAAAAAGTATGCGGGGTTGTCAGGTTATCCAATAATAAGGATATATTCCGATATAAAGTATTTTATTTTACCAATTTTTATACTAATTTTGGCAAATGTTGTTAATTTGTGTTCTTAGTAAGAAGAAACCATCCTTTCAACAAATTATAAATGTAGACCCACGTTTTGGTACAACTCTCTTATGAAGGTAAGAAAAAGAAAAAAAAAAGAAACAAGAAACCACTTTCGAAAGGTTCCAAAAATGTTCAGTATATAATGACAATATATTTTTTATAGTCCGAAAATCCCAAAACTCTCTTTAAAACCAAACAAATAACAACAAGTAAAAAAAAACAGTTGAATACCCTCAACCATTTGGAACGAATTAGAAAATTTTCAAAAAAATAAAATCCATTGAAAATTTTGTTAAAATCTTTAAAATACCTAATATCGGAAAAGGTGTCGATATACGATATTGTGGACCTATATAGACAAACCTATGTCTGGGGGTAAAGTACTCACAAGGAACTCCTTGTGTGGATTTTCAGATGATTCCATTGAAAAATGTGGCTAAATTCATCAAAATACCGAATATCGGGGGGTACCGTTATATGGGGGATATACGATACCGTGGACCGATATAGCCCATCTTCGAACTTGACCTGCCTGCAGACAAAAGAGAGATCTGTGCAAAATTTTAGCTTCCTATATTAATTCGTTTAGACTGTAGCGTGATTACAACAGTCGGACAGACGGACGGACAGGGCTAAATCGTCTTAGAATTTTACGCTAATCACGAATATATATACTTTGTTGGGCCTAAAATGATTATTTCGATGAGTTACAAACGGAATGACAAACTTAATATACACCCATACTATGATGGGTGTGAAGATAAATTGGAAAGTTAAATTGGATGTTAACCGAATACAGTTACTTAACAGAGATCTGTTAAGGACTTAACAGAGCTTTGTTAACGTCAGTAAAAAAGAAAATTTTGAAAAAATATAATTTTTTGTTATTATATTAAATTTTATTACTTCGGTAATAAAAATAGCTTGAGTACAGATTAAATAAATACTATGCAGCACCAACTATAGAACAAACCGTTTCAGACACCCGAATTGGGTCATATCTTTATTATGATGTAAAAAAATGGAATGGACCATTGTGCAAAGGCTATAAACCCTGCGCGGATCAAACTAGGCTTAAACGAAAGGTCTCTCCGAGCTCTTTCACCCCGAAGGGGTGCACAGTGGTTTAATCTGTTAGGACCTTCTTATTATCTGTATGGGTCCAATTTGGGTCTCTGAAACGGTTTTGGACTATAATCTATATATGGGGTGAAAGAGCTCGGAGATACCTTTCGTTTAAGCCTAGTTTGATCCCCGCAGGTTTTATAGGCTTTGCACAGTGGTTCAATCTGTTAGGACCTTCTTATTATCTGGATGAGTCCAATTTGGGTCTCTGAAACGGTTTTGGACTATAACCTATATATGGGGTGAAAGAACTCGGAGAGACCTTTCATTTAAGCCTAGTTTGATCCGCGCAGGTTTTATAGGCTTTGCACAGTGGTTCAATCTGTTAGGACCTTCTTATTATCTGGATGGGTCCAATTTGGGTCTCTGAAACGGTTTTGGACTATAACATATATAAGGGCTGAAAGTGCTCGGAGAGACCTTTAGTTTAAGCCTAGTTTGATCCGCGCAGGTTTTATAGGCTTTGCACAGTGGTTTAATCTGTTAGGACCTTCTTATTATCTGTATGGGTCCAATTTGGGTCTCTGAAACGGTTTTGGACTATAACCTATATATGGGGTGAAAGAGCTCGGAGATACCTTTCGTTTAAGCCTAGTTTGATCCCCGCAGGTTTTATAGGCTTTGCACAGTGATCCATTTCGTTTTTTTACATCATAATATAGATATGACCCAATTCGGGTGTCTGAAACGGTTTGTTCTATAGTTGGTGCTGCATAGTATTTATTTAATTTGTATTCAAGCTATTTTTATTACCGAAGTAATAAATTTTAATATAATAATTAACAAATAATTATATTTTTCAAAATTTTCTTTTTACTAAGTCTTTAACAAAGCTCTGTTAAGTAACTGTTTTCTGTTAACATCCAATTTGACTTTCAAATTTATCTTCACACCCATCATACTATGTATGTTGGAGGGTATAAAATTTCGAGTTGTGAAAGACATGATGCTATATATGAAATTAAAGTTGGCAACCCTGTTTTGATTTGTGTCAAAAATTGTGGTGCTCCGTGCTTTTGAAAACAAAATTAATTATCCTTTTGTTAAATTTGTTAATCTGAAAAAAAAAGTGTCTAAAAGTGCTGAACATTGATTTTGAAATTAGTGATAATTGGTGTTGCCTTTTTGGCAATTTTACTTTATCCTCTTTGTCCTGTTTCTTTTGTTACATTAGGTAATTAGTAGTTGTAACACAACAACTTGTTATATTATTATAAAGAAAATAAAAAAAATTCCAGCTAGAGATTTGATCTTAAAAAGTATAGTTGTAACTTGTAAAAATAAAAAATAATAAATGTCGTGTACTTTGCATTATGTAATATTGTTCCAGAGGAGGAATTGTGTTTTACATGTTGGTTTTGTCTTAATCAATGGCATGCTAAATGTGCAAGGATTAATGCATAAATTTTAAACACAAAAAGAAATATTGTTGGTGTTGTGTGCAATGTAGAAAACTCTCTGCAGACTTTTACAATTTTGTAAGGAATTTACAGTTGTAATTAACATCGATGAAAAAAGTATTTCCCTTACTATCACTCCGACTTGAGAATTTGTCTACTTTGTGTGAGAAATACCAAGAACTGGATGAATTTGTGTCGTCACCGTCCATTTCTGTTCAGAAACGCAGAAGGGCTGCGAAAAAGACGCCAGCTAAGGGAATGCCTAGCCGCAAATCCATAGTTTCTGTGGAGAACACTGCTCCGCAGCCGGTTCGAGTTAATATCACTGATACAACTGAGACTGGGCGTGAACAGTCGCATGAAGTGTTGTTACACACTCAGTTCCGGTAATTAAGGGCGATATAGTAAAGGGGTAAATAATCTGGAGGATATTCACTCAAGACACACAAGTTATTATACATTTTGAGATGTTACAAACTCCGATCTATGTTTTCTAAAAATAGACCTTCTTTCAAAATCGTTGTGCCGTAAAATGTTTTTGTACAGTTGATTGTAAAAAGATTTATGGCATTTGGAATGGAGCATTCATAAAAGAATTTCTGGAGAGATCCGATAATTTAACTCATTTGCCTCTAGAACCATTTTCAGTGCCAAAAAAAATAAATAACTAATTTTCTATTTGCTATTAGAATGTAAGGGTTCTAAACACAAAATTAACCAGTATATACTGACAGCATTGGTTTAAATTATAGTGTTTGGTTTTTTCCGAAAACATATATATTAAAAGTGACATTTTATGTTCAAAATATCCAACATTTAGAAACAGTCGTGTTTGTAAAAATAGTGGTGGCGTCCTTTTTGCAGTTGATACCAAATATACTACTAATTTATTTGTTCTAAATGGTTTTCCTGATACAGAGTTTATTGGGGCAAATTTAAATAGTTTGTTCTCTTTTATTTCATATTCCACCTTCGCCTTTACTTGAAATTTGTAATCAGCAATAAATATAATCACTGAAAATGAAAGATTTTGATTGTTATTTTGATTCTTAGTAATATGCGTTCCATTAGGTAGCTTAAATAGAATTATTTAGAATTTCTCCAAAATGCTCCCCTGAAGATATGTTCCATCCAACTTTTTATATCTCCATGACTCACAGTAATGTAATTGAAGAAAGTCAGTCCGATTCATTTAAAACTGTCCGTAATTATAAAAAAATAGTTTTTGAAAACCTAATACCCTCATTTTCTCTGTAAATTGGGCCTTTGTGTGCCTGTGTAATAGTCACGAAGATCTGGAATATGTAAATAATATATTTTATGATATGTATATATATAAGAAAGTTATGTTAGTTACTACGTTTATAACTCAACAATTGCAGGTCTTATTTTAACGAATCAGACAAATTCGGAAAAAGAATAAAATAAAAAAAAATCCTGTAAAATGTGAAATTTGAACATTTTCATTTGGACTTTTAAAATGTACAACCGTCATGGTTTGTATTGCATGATTTTTTACCGTCTTGACTTACTATTATCGAATGTACATTTGTAGTGTATTTTTCTTTTTTGTCTTGGTAAAAAAAATCGCTTAAATTATGCCAATAAAAATGTTAATGAATAAAATATTTTTGGCGTATTTTTTTTTCAATTTGACTTACTATATTTTTTTATTGTTTTGAATTCTGAATGAATAATATTAAAAATGACATTAAATGGCAATCTTTCATGTCTAATTTTTTTTTCAACTCCAGGACCTACTTGGTGCTTCAGCTGGAAGATTTAAACAAACAAAAATAACAAAAATGTTTCTCAGGTGGTAAAAAATCTCTTCTCATACAATTTTAAATTTTCGGAGTGTGACACTCTTGGGCTTAACAACATTCATCAATTGATTTGGCTAAAAAAATTATTTAGGCTATTCTTGGGTAGTATAGTCCCCACATTATTGTACCCGCAAGTCCACTTTCCCAACTAATGTGTGGTCGGAAAAGAAAGTTTTGTATTCTATTGAATTTGTAACGCCCAAGAGAATATTGGTTGGGAACGTAGATTTGGCATGTACGTCTATATGAAATTAACTCCGAAATGTCAAACTTGGACTAATTCAGTCGGAAATTGTGGCAGAAACA